AAAAAGGAGTCAATGGGAAATAGCACAATTAAAAAAAAAATTTCAAGGGATCGATACATGACTTTGAACTCAAAAATGTACTTTGCTTCTCCTCAGAAACCCCCAAATGCTTCAAAAACATTATATTGAAGATTTGTTATCTTGCTTCAAATACACGTTTTCAAAGTGTCGCCAGGATAGCCAGTATCAAAGTATTGACGAATCTGTGACCAAATGGGGTCGATCTTCTTTGAAACAATATATGCCCCTCAAACCAACCAAGAGGGGCATAAAACTATGGCTTCGCTGCGATGCAGATGCGGGCCAAAGGTATGATGTTAATGAATATTCTGGAAAAGAGGACCCAATTCCCGCCAAAAATCAATCACTAACTCTGGGAGAGCGAGACGTAACAGCCCTTGCGTCTACAGTCAAAGAAAATAATGTAGTGTTATGTTTTGATCGCTTTTTTTACAAGTGTGAATTTGTTACTTACACTAGACTATGCAGCCTTGGGAACTTACATGTCCAATCGCAAGAACGTACCAACTATGGGAGACAAGCTGCAAAAAGGGGAATCTCAATTCAGATGCACTTCTTCGGGATTACTTTATGTAAAGTGGCAGGACACAATGGAAGTTTTGCTGATGAGTAACTGTCATAAGCCCAATTTGACAACAATTATCAAAAAGAGCAAAACCGGTGAACAACAAAATATCCAATGTCCAGAGATTTACAGAAAAGATGCAAGGGGTTGATCGGGCAGATCAAATTGACCGAAAATCAGCAAAGTGGTGGAAAAAGTTGAAATGAGACATAAAAATGAGAATATTTCTTTTATTTCTTTCCTCACCACACTTGCAGAAGAATTAATATCTGAAGGTATACAAAATACAAGCTTACATTACCAAAACAAGGCGCCCCTTCAAGAAAAAGAAAATTATATGGTGCATCAGCATTACATCTTCCTGTGGAGGGATAGACAAGAAGATCCACTAGATGTTCTGAAGAGAAAAAACAAACAAGAACAAAACTCTTTGCGAGTAGTGCAATATTCCATTGTGCAAGTTCTGTTTTATGTTGTATCATACCAAATAGTTATTTAGGTTCATTTTCTTCTTTGCAAAGCTGTTTTTGTATTTTTTTCTAAATTAATATTCTTATACCATTGTTTTTTCTGTTTTTATGAATTTTCCGATCATACCTGTTGGTACGCATGTGTACCACCATAAATACCTGCTGGTACATATATGCACCACCCCCTCCACCGTTACCTGACCAATGAAAAAAATAGATATTAATAAAAACTCATTGTAAGACATCCTAATAATAATATTTTACACTGTTTATTATTTGGACTAAGGTATTTGAATTCAGGGACGAAAGGGTTAAAGCAATTTAAAATTGGCGAACTTTTGGTTTTTTCATACTGTACATCCAAAAAAAACATAACATCTATTACAATACATCCTCGCCAGTAGGCGTGGGAAGTAAAAAACAGAAAAAAGGATAGTTTGGTATGATTAAGGTATATTCCAACGTATTTTGCTTAATTCAATACGAAGTTTGCACATTACCTTTGCAATATGTATGGGTCGGTGCATGTCGGCATATGGGCAGACACATCGGCCGATTCAACTGTCGGCAAATTAGGCCGATACCACCGAGACATATCGGCATCTATCCTTAGTTTGAGTAGACTATAGGTGGAAGTAGCCACATCATCGCGCACTACATATTGAGTTTTTCTGTAGACCACATCCGCTTATCTGTTGTCTGTCTCCAGGACAAGACCTATACCGCATCGATGGTTTCTAACAAGCATGAAGCGCCACTGTATATGGTTGCTCAAGATCGCAGAGTCAGAAAACAAACAGATGCTTATGTGCCCTCGACAAGTGTTTATGAGTACACATAATGTTGACACGATTCGTGGTATGCATGGAATATTTTACAAGGGTTAACTTTTCTGTTAAACTCAACCATTTTGCTTAAAATGACAGAAACATAGAAAATGCATCTAAGTGTGGAAGGTACCTGATCCTAGCAAAAAATAACAACTATTTCCTGAACGTTATAGCGGATTAATTGCCTCACTTTTCACTTTCTTATCAGACTACTTCATACTGCTAGACAATCACTTCTCCATATCACTCGCTTCAGAGCTGACTTTGATTTTGTACCTCTTTTCCCTCCGCCTATTTTGGAACCACACTTGTATGACCTTTCCACTCAATCCAGTGACCGATTGCAATCGAGCTCTCACATCTTTACTAGGGAACTCGTTCACGGCAAATATTGATTGGAGCAATTCAGCTTGCTTCTTCGAAATACACGTTCTGTTCCTAATAAGGATGTTAGAAGACCCACTCGCAGGAGACAAGGCTTTCGCGTCCTGAGACTGGCTTGAATGAGGCCTAGGAGTAAGTTGATGAAGATCTGGCTTGTATGGTTGAGGTGTTTCCTGAGATTGGCTTTGTGAATCTGGAAAATATTGCTGATGCTGTGATTGTTGCAGGTCTGAGTGCGTATTTGTTGGTTGATTTATTGAGGCGTACGGCAAGGGTATTGGTACATCATATTGTTGAGGGGTTGCGGAAGTATGTAGATGTGCTGAGGTATACGATTGAGGTCCTGAAGTGTATTGCTGAGTTCCTGTGGAATACTGCCGTTGCTGTTCAGTCGCAGACTTACGGGCACCTAGGTAAAGTTCTTTATTAGATTGATTAGCAGGAATGCAAACAGAAGAACATGTACTAGGAGATAGACGGTTATTTCCAACAGTGAATTTCTGATTGTCCCGAATCCAGTGAAACAGACGAGTACATCGCGTAGCTAGGCAATTTCATATAATCAGTTTGTACAGAAGACCATACTGGACAGCCTCTGATATTCTAAAATTCCTTGTTGGAAATCACCAATAAAAAATCATTCTTGTGAAGGTTGATGACGCGAAATTATCTCTGACACCGACATCAAAATGCCACTTTCTTCATTACTATGATATAATCGATAGGGTGAAAAATAAGGGTATTTTAGAGCAAGAGTTATATAGAAAACAACATCAAACGTTTCTAAAACCATATGTCCTACCTTGACAGTCTCTCTTCCAAAAAGAAAGAATATTTAAAATGTTTACTTTAGTCTGGGCGGTAAAGTGCACTGGATGAATAGGATTTTCCAGGCATTCCTGGTAACTGTAAAATTATTTTTATGTTCACTTAAAGTCTAGACTAAATTATGTCTCTTAGCATGTGAGCCATAAATGCCCTAGATACATCAATAACGACTAAAACACACTTTGATATTATAGACTGTTAATTCAGGTTTCATATCAAGTCAGCTCAATAACAGATTCACAATGACAGAAAAGTAGAAATACTGGTATTTGTCTTCAACTGTGTCTGGGGGATGAAACCCTTCCAAAAGGTCGACTCTTAATAATGAACAACTGAGGCCTTATCAATATAAGCTGTCGCACATAGATAGAATTACAGGATATAAACTAAATATACAGGTTCAATTCACAAATTGTGCACATTTGACAATTCTACTCCGGTTTTCTGCTTCCCATATCTCATTTCCATGCTTCTCTATATTTTTTTTCTCGTCTTCTGTTTTTGAACCAAACTCGTATCACTTCCATGGGCAATCCAGTGTCCATCTGCAATCTCTCTCTAATTTCTCTACCTGGACACTCATTGACATTAAATACAGCTGACAATAGCTTACTTTGATGTTGTGATATATATGTTCTGGATCTTCCTGGTCTGTTTTGTCCCTGTTTCAACGGTGGCAATCCTAAAGATATAAGCTCGCGTCAAAAAGAATAGATCTTGATGATCCTGCATCATAACTTTCTTGGGAACACTTTCAAAATTAACAAAAATTGGTTATCTTATGTGTACTTGGTCAATTATATTTATGTTGAGAATGGGTGTTGGTACATTCCTATTTAATATGTATATGAGTTACCCCTCTCATACCAGTGTACTTGCCTCATACTATATCAGTACTGACCTTTCCCATGATTGTGTAGGATACGAACAATATAAAAATAAATGGATATTAATGAAAGCAACAGACATTTAGCTGATTTCAGGGTAGGAACAATTTGAATTGCAACTTAAAAATGTTCTTTTGATGTGACAAATGAAGACAGGAAAATATTTGACGACATGATAGATTTCACCAGCGAGACCACGCCTATATTCCACTATCAGTCGGATGGTGTTTTCCTTTTTGTCCATCGACTCAGTTCTCCCGCTTTGCACATCTCTCCCGGCGAATAGTCAGCTTCCAAAATGGAAGAGACAATCGTAACGCGCTGAATACGATGAGATTCGCATACCAACACTAAACGATACACTGCACGTTAGCATTGGCGTACCAGGATTCATACTACCCTTCCATTCTTGGACTTGAATATTGATTTCAATAAACGAAAATAAATGATAGGAGAAGGAATTAATAGAGAGAGTCGACAATTGATAGCATTTGTCTGTGCAGCAACACAAGATTTTCACCGGAAAATATGGTCAATCTATTTCCTTTCAAACTGTTCAATCAACAATATACTGTAAGCCTACAACTGCTACTAAAGCTGCTGAAACAGGGTGGGTGGGCCAAAGAAACTGTAATTGTAGAGTTACACCTGATAGGTTTATTGTGAGGAACGGAATGACAATTTCGTGTTAATAAAAAATAAATAAAATTAATTTACACACTACTGAGATGGTATGGTCAAATAAAAAAACGAAATAATTGAAGCACAACTAAAAGGATAATTAAAAATCTTCATAAAGACACTAAATTAACATTAAGTTGAAGAGTCAACTACAGTGGTCAACTTGTCCCTGTCCATAAAACATCTCTCCAAGAAAAAGGTTCAATGCATCAAAAAGATTTTATTGAAACATGTAACAAAACAATAGTTTGGTTAACTACGTTGACGAGACGCGTTTTGTTTATTGGCATTTACTGTTTCGAAACTTCCCCTCGCAGAGCGAGACATGTTGTTCGCACTATAGTCAGCTCTTTATCCAATAATGTTTGGGGATAACATGGAACACTAATAAGGCGATAAAGATATATTTGACTGATGTGTCTTCATTAAGTGCTGGTCCAAAGCTTCCTTCATTTTGAATGCGACTTGACAAATAGGACAGATGAACCTTGCTGGGACGCAATCATACATCAGGTGCTGCACTATACCTCCTTTATACTTGTATCTTCTTTTGTTACAGTGCTTGCAACAATACATTCCTTTTTGATTTATGAAGAAACCTACATCATCTGGTTCTTCTAGATGTTCATCTTCAGCCTGAGCTTGAGCTACAAATATTGTTTGTTACATTTTATTCACTGGACATAACTAGAATATTGGAATATAGTGATGAAGCGTTAGAAGTTCTGCAATGCAAAATGTAACTTACGAATAGAAAGTCCACATCCCTGACAATTTACAGGAGTTGAACACTAATATGGGTATATTATATATAAAACTTTATGAATCAATTCAGGATTGGGGGTCGTTTTTGACAACAAACCGAATTTTTTATTCCATATGGCTCAAAAGGTGGCTGATGCCTCACGAGCGCATTACTTTATTGTGCAGAAGCTTCAGCTGCCCAGAGCTGCTGTTACTTTTACACTCAGATCAAAATTGGAATATGCATCATTAATATACACAACACCATTTATGACTGCTACATCGATTTTCATGAGCATATTCGTAGAAGGTTTCTCAAATTTTTATCTCTGAAGGTTAACAGTACATATATCCTAAACAGGGTATATCTGAGAAATTATCGTCTCAAATTGATGCCAATAAGATTGCACCTCAACTGAACTTTAGTGTCCGGCCTCCCACCTTTCAGAACTCTACTACGATTAAGGCCTGTTATTGTGACAGGGCACGCACATATTTATAAATGTGAAGTGTAAGACTCTTAATGCCATATATACGCTGATGGTTGGAAGATGCTTTCTGGGAGTAGCTAAGAATTACGTTAAACAATTTGTGATCTGTTTCTCACTTGATTGAATTTTTTTTGCTTGTAGATAGACAGAACCACTTGCTTTTTCATGCCTTTGCCTTCAGCTAATTTGATTTATCTGTATTAAAATTGTCCTAAAATGGTTTCCTTAACTGCCTTATTTATTTATAACTAATATATTAGATGTAAATTTTCACTTTCCCTTCGCTTTGCCAATACCAAAAGTTTGGCAACCTCTCAAGGCTTGACATATAACGTAAACTACTTTTTACATGAATTAAATATTTTGCCTATCATAATCCAATCATAAATCGCTAAGCAAGAAGCCTCCATTTGCTTTCTTTTGCGAGATTTTGACAACATTCGTAATTTTACGACGAATTGGAACCAAATATTTTATTTTAGCTACTTTAAATGCATGATTGCAAATACTCTGTTATCATTTATATTTCTTTACAATTATCGTGTCTCAAGACACGGCATTTTTGTAGAAAACCACTATGTGACATACGTATAATTCTGGAAAGCAATGTTAAATTTAGACGGATCGCAAGCCACAGCTTTGACGATCTAGAACTGCAAAGCAGCAAAAACGTTGACTAATGATTAAGGTCTTACTGGCGATGAAACCTCAAATAATTTCCTTATTCGATTTCCGCATACGGAATTCCGAGACCCTCGTGCCGCTTGTGCCGCTCTTTATATATTGGGGCATGGTATAGAAAAATAATTTTACAAATGGTTGTAATATTTATTGCAGATTATATCTTAGAATTCTACATTTTATTTACATTTCGATTATAAGTTATAATGAGGTATAAATAGGTACGATATGTATTAACTGGATGAAAAGCACACTATTTTTTAACTTTTACTAGTGACTATCACAAAGCGATGACATACGCAAAGTTTCAAATGCAAGAGAATAAAATTCCATTGATTGGTTCTTTGAGATTGTTTCTGGATTTTCCCGCTGTGTCTACCCCACTTAGTAAATGCAAAATGCACGACGCAACCTTCATTTTTAACTTTGGCTTAAAATCAAGGGTAAGATAAACTATGGTAACTATGGATATTAACTGTTCTGTGTCTGAAGCAGAATATATAGATCAAGAAAAGGCTACAAGATAAAATAAATATCATGAAAAATAACTGTGAATGGGATAGCCACTCCACTCATTCATTCATTCTAGACAGAAGGAACTCAAATTAATACAAAATTGCCACTAATCTTCTGACATAGTCTAATCCTAATGGCAAATTTGCCCGAAATAATTGTAAAATCTGGTTTTAGTGGTGCACGTTGTTCGAGGGGGTATTTAAAACATGGACGCATGAAATGGGAACACCAATTTTTGTGGGAAAACTGTTTAATCGACAACAAAGAATGAGAAAACGTGTTTTTTGGGATTCAATTGTAAGTGTTGACAGGAACGAAAAAACTTTTCATATAAGACTTTTAGTTATATATGAGACCTACAAAATGAGACTACACGTGAAAAGATCCGACTTATAGCAAAAATATTATGGCCGAAAAACGATGCAAAATGCAGGTTTTGGCACTTGTTGGTAGCGCGACGATAACTTCACGCAACCTGAAGTTTGAATGCCACTTGACAAATAGGACAGATGAACCTTACTGGGACGCAATCATACACCAGGTGCTGCACTATACCTCCTTTATACTTGTATCTTCTTTTGTTACAGTGCTTGCAACAATACATTCCTTTTTGATTTATGAAGAAACCTACATCATCTGGTTCTTGTAGATGTTCATCTTCAGCCTGAGCTTGAGCTACAAATATTGGTTGTTTCATTTCATTCACTGGATATAACTAGAATATGGGTATATTATATATAAAACGTTATGAATCAATTCAGGATTGGGGGTCGTGTTTGACAACAAACCTAATTTTTTACTCCATATGGCTCAAAAGGTGACTGATGCCTCACGAGCGCATTACTTTATTGTGTAGAAGCTTCAGCTGCCCAGAGTCGCTGTAACTTTTACACTCAGATCAAAATTGGAATATGCATCATTAATATACACAACACCATTTATGTCTGCTACATTGATTTTCATGAGCATATTCGGAGAAGGTTTCTCAAATTTTTATCTTTGAAGCTTAACAGTGCATATATCCTAAAGAAATTATCGTCTCTGATTGATGCCAATAAGATTGTACCTGAACCTTAGTGTCCGCCCTCCCACGTTTCAGAACTCTACTACGATTAAGGTCTGTTATTGTGACAGGGCACGCACACATTTATAAATGTGATGTGTAAGACTCTTAATAGCATATCTAATCACTGCGATATAGGTATACGCTGATGGTTGGCAGATGCTTTCTGGGAGTAGCTAAGAATTACGTTAAACAATTTGTGATCTGTTTCTCACTTGAGTGAATTTTCTTTGCTTGTAGATAGAATGAACCACTTGCTTTTTAATGCCTTTGCCTTTAGCTAATTTGATTTATCTGTATTAGAATTGTCCTAAAATGGTTTCCTTAACTGACTTATTTATTTATAGCTTATTATATTAGATGTAAATTTTCACCTTCCCTTCACTAAGCCAAAACCAAAAGTTACCACAATCAAATATTTTGCCTATCATAATCCAAACATAAATCGCAAAGCAAGAAGCCTACATTTACTTTCCTTTGCGAGATTTCAACAGTATTCGTAATTTTACGACGAATTGTAACCAAATATTTTATTTTAGGTACTTTAAATGTATGACTGCAAATACTCTGTTATCAATTATCTTTTTTTTACAATTATCGTGTCTCAAGGCACTGTATCTTTGCAGACTGTATGTGGCATATGTATAATTCTCAAAAGCAATGTTAAATTTAGACGGATCGCAAGCAACAGCTATGACTGTCTAGAACGGTAAAGTAGCAAAAACGCTCTCTAATGATTAAGGTCATAATGACGATGAAACCTCAACGAATTTCCTTATTCGATTTCCGCAAATGGAATTCCGAGACCCACGTGCCGCTTGTACCGCTCTTTATATATTATAATAATAATATTTATTCACTCAATGTACAAAGATAACAAACAATATGAGTAAATAAATATAAAATCAAAACAGGCCCAATAGAAGGCATGGACCAATAATTTAAGTTGAAACTGTAGAATGCAAATCACAAAAAAGGACAAAAATTAGCTACAGTAGATTATGTATTTAGTTGATGTTCGTATTTATGAGTTTATGAATTTCACTCCTAGATAAAGAATGTAGCCACTTTTTTAAATTTCTTTCGAAACAATTTCCGAAACGTAAATCTTTTAAGTCTTTAGGTATAATTTCATAAAATTTAGGCGCTAAATAGAGATATGATCGCTGCATTATAGATTTATGCGGTTGAGGAACTACTGTACCACGAATTTTGTACCTGGTATAATGATTATGTTTAATTTTTTGGTCGGTGTTTAGAAATTTATGGTAGTGAGTGATACCGTGTAAGAAATAAAGCTGTCTTATATCATACATTCGAACATCTGCGTATAATTTTTCAGTGGGATAAAGTTTCGGTATTTTAAATATCATTTTTAGAATACTTTTTTGAAAAACATCTAAATTATAGATATGTGAGGAACATGCAGCTCCCCATGCTAATATACCATATGTGAGATGAGGCTCAATCAGTGCATGGTATAATGTCCGAAGATATTTTTCTGTCAATATATTCCCAAGGTATTTAATTTTGTAGGATACAAATCTAACTTTCTTTAAAATATAATTGACATGGATGTCCCATCGTACCAAGACCACTCCAATGTATTTTATGTTGGGCACTCTATTAATTTGTATTTTTTGATTATTAATATTGAAGGAGACATTTGTGTAATTTGGCAGATGTCTAGCATAAGATCCAAATGGTAAAAAATGTGTTTTAGAGTAGTTAATGCTTAATTTTCTACTGTTAAACCATATTTATTGCAGATTATATCTTAGAACTCTACATTTTATTTACATTTTGATTATAAGTTATAGCGAGGTATAAATAGGTACGATATGTATTAACTGGATAAATAGCACACTATTTTTTAACTTTCACTAATGACTATCACGAAGCGATGACATACGCAAGTATCGAATGCAAGAGAATAAAATTCCATTGATTGGTTCTTTGAGATTGTTTCTGAATTTTTCTGTTGTGTCTACCCCACTTAGCAAATACATGTAAAATGCACGATGCGACCTTGATTTTTATCTCTGGCTTAAAATCAAGGGTAAGATAAGCTATGGTAACTACTGATATCAACTGTTTTATGTCTGAAGCAAAACATGATAGATCGAGAAAAGGCTACAAAATAAAATAAATATTATGAAAAATAACTGTAAATAGGATATGGGGAATAGAACCAAGGGCAAAATGTTATCAGATAATTTTGTATCTACTTCATAACCACTCCACTCAGTCATTCATTCAAGACAGAAGGAACTCAAATTAATACAAAATGGCCACCAGTAAAAACAAAGTGGCACAGTAATTTTATATTTATTTAATATTGAAAGACATAAGTACTACTATTATTTTTCTAAACCGTCTAATGCTGTCCATGCTGTTCTCATCAATTTTCGGAAACAAAATTTCGTTGAGCATGACATGGTACGTCTCGCCATTGACCGTTGGCATGCCCTTGCTCATTTTCGAAGAAGTCAGTCTTTGTCAGTATGGGGGATTTTCTGATCCCCAAATGCGATATGAAAATGAGTTTCACTTGAAAAGATGATCAGATGATTCCGTTCGGTAAATGTCAAACGTAAAACTAATCTTCTGACATAGTCTAATCCTAATAGCAAATTTCCCCGAAATAATTGATAAGTCTGGTTTTATTGGTGCACGTTGTTCAAGGGGGTATTTAAAACATGGACGTATGAAATCGGTACACCAATTTTTGTGGGAAAACTTTATTTTTAGGGATTCAATCCAAAGTGTTGACAGGAACGAAAAAACTTTTCATATAAGATTTTTAGGTATATATGAGACTACAAAATGCAGTTTTTGGCACTTGGTAATACGACGATAATTTGACGCAACTACTTGAAAATCTCCAAATTCGTAGTATTCGTACTTCGAAATAACAACAACAATTTGATTTATATTGGTCAAGTAGTTTTTTGAGAGTTTCTAATTGTTTTCTTATTGAGCAATATAAGTACAGGGTTCGTTCAAAGAGCATTGAATAGCAAAATACACGTGTTTACCTTGCCGATCTGAATCACAATCCATTCCGAAAGATAATTGTTATTTTCATGCGAAAAACGAAGGTTAGGTTTTTTTCTTCTAAACAAATTCAAACATTTTGTATTTGTGAGTAATTGAACAAATGCGCTAATATATTAAAAAAACAGACGATTCCTAATACATATGAAAACAAAGCGGACGTGTTATTATCTTTTGTTGCGATTTACTCACAAATACAAAATGTATAAATTTGTTTAGAAGAAAATACGTAACCCATCCTTTTGTGCATAAAAACAACATTTATCTCCCAGAATGGTATGCGATTCATATCGGCAAGATAAACAAGGATATTTTTCTATGAAATGTGCTTTGAACTAAGCCTTTATATTGGTCAATAAACTAGTAGTGATGGCCGGTAAACAGGTGTTTTGGGATAAACAGTTAGTAATTCTCAAAAAACTACTTGACCAATAGACCCTCATTTTGTTGTGGCTATTTAGAAGTATGAATCCTACGAATTTAAAGAATTTCAAATGTCTGCGAAAAACCATCGTCGTATTACCAACAAGTGCCAAAACCTGCAGTTTGCCTCGGTTTTCAGCCATAACTTTTTTGCTATTAGTCGGAACTCTTGTAGGTCTCATAAATACCAAAAAATCTTATATGAGGAGTTTTTTCGTTCCTGCCAACACCTTCGATTAAATCCCAAAAACACGTTTTCTCATTCAATGTTGTCGAATAAAAATTTTTCCCACAAAAATTGGTGTACCCATTTTATGCGTGAATACCCCCTTGAACAGCTTGCAGAAATAAAACCAGACTTTACAATTATTTCGCAAACCAGGGGTATTTTCGTCTAGTATGATTAGACTAACATGTCATAAATGAGATTTTAGTTTTCGATGTCAAAATAATCGTTACTTCGAAGTCCAAAAACTAGATGGCCCACGTTGTAAATGTTCTCATCTGTGCATGGTTGAGATCAAATGAAGGATATGCTATCACAATTCCGCAGTTTGAGATACAAAGCATAGGATCATTTTCACCGCCACCATCCGTGCAATCTTTTGAAACCCTGGAGACAGAAGTTCTACATCCTCTGTCGATTGCCTAGCGGAAAACATTTACGATTTGCGTTGAGCCTATGTTTTGGCGTGCCTTGTGATTCTTAATCACAATTAGCCTTAACCTGTGGTGATATGGTTCAATGATGCATCTATTAAAATTATTTCAAATAAAAGTATGTCTGTATACGACTGTCGTCAAAACATGTGTATCTTCCATCTTCAAAAGTATGCTGCTTAAATTGCATCAGGCTTTGATCTACGTCTTCTATTCTGGAACCACACCTGTATAACTTTAATTGATAGTCCAGTGACGACGTGTAAATGATGCTTCTCTTCGGCACTGGGTTTGTTATTTCTCATGAAAGCTTCGAAAAGTATGTGTTGTTGTTGCTTTGATATAATTGTCCTGCTGGAACGATAGTCCAAAAATCCTACTTTTACATCTTCAGAGCAGTATGGATATAATGACCGTCTTTCTTGTTTTGATTTCAGATTGGAGATGCTTCCCCCTAAAATTATGTAAAAGTCAAAAAGGATTC